TGAGGTGATCCCAAGGCGTGCTGAGAAGCTTCGCATGGTTTCCGCACATGTGAAGTAGACAGGCAGCGTGTGAACCCTGTCCAACCGTCACACCTAGAACATTGATTAATACTTTGGGTTTGCACCTCTGTTTGTTCCTATGGCGACTCTGGCGAAGATCAACTCAAAAGCAACAACTCTTCACCGCAGTCTCGTTCAAGCGCGACTTGCTCTCCCATTCATGCCAGAGGAATGTCAACAATTTTCGCGCTGTCACAACTATCCCGATTGCACTTCCCCTTTTGCATTGAGCGCTTTGCGTTCAGAAAGGTCATCACTAGATAGATCTTCGCAGGCGAGGGCCATGGCCGAAAAGCGGCCCACAAAAAGGGGCGGTTGCTGTCGCACCCCGGTTTAAATTTTAATTCTGACCCTGTAGTTCGTAATAAAACGACAATCTGAGAGTCGACAACACAAGACACCTGTGGACGGGGTTGAAAAGATCATAGATAGGATCTACTCAGAATGCCAGCGGTCAGGTGTCGTCTCACCTGCAGAACAAGTGGCCGCACGGGATAACGACCCCATACTTCTTGCGCTCCATGCAGATGGTACACGTGTTCGCCTCGTCGCCCTCCTTCGGCGCCTCGTCGTCCGCGGCCACCAGGTCGATGTGTACGGACGGCGCTGGTGCAAGCGGCGCGGGCGCTGCAACGTAGGGAATAGGCGGAACGGAAGCTGCTCAGATTCTACTTCTGAGGTCAGATCACGTGTTCTTTTTTCAATGAAAAGAACAAAAGAGCCACTCGAAAAGTACTTCGGATGTTTATCAAACTAGATTCCCGTTGTCTGCCGCCACCAAGCCGATGTGCACGAACGGAGCAACTGCGGGCCGCACAACCGCTGCGAAGGCAAAAAATTGTTCTCGAAGAGCCGGAATCCGTGGTTTTCTTTTGTCGTATATAGCTTGGCGTATGGATATTCGTGTGCACGGCCGATTTCGCTACAGCGGGCGCGAGCGTGCACACGAATTTGCAGACAGTGGTGTTCTTGTTACGAAGAATGGTTCAAAGTGGAAGACATCGCCGCTTAGATAGCCTTTGCTCTCGTTTGGCAGCCCTTCTCCTCAGACATTTTGATGGCGGGTGTGCCGGCAGGCAGAGCAGCTCCAACAGTGAGGGCATCAATTGCCGCCAAACCGAATAAAGAACGGGGTTTGCATGGATTAGCCCTCAGGTGACCCATGCAATTTTAGCTTCTCTCAGTGAAATCTCTATGCGAGTAGGTTAAGTATAGCTGGCGGTGCAAGGAGAAAAGCGTTTGGAACTCTAAGCATTACAGCGGCTTGCCGCAGAGCAGCTCAGGAACGGGTCGAGCAGAGTGCAAGGCTAACATTGCAAAGCGAGTGAACGCAACACACGGAACCTGAACCCATATCAGATCGGCGAAAACGACCGAGTCAAAATCTGCTGTTTGTCCTCCGGACAAGGATTCCACCCCATCATACAAGCACCCCGACCATGTCTGGAGTACGACATCCACACCCGCATGACGTCACCTCACCGTTGCCCGCTGGCGGCCCCGGCCACTCTCCCCCCCCTTCCACGTCATCATCCGTCCCGTCGTCCGAACCCCCACTCGCGCTCCAATCCGCCGACGAGCTTCCGCCGCCGTTCTCATCGCTGTACGAACCTTCGTCCGTGCCCAGGTCTTCCGTTCCGGTGTCCGGATGGTCCGTTCCGACGGTGTCCGAATCGGACGGGTACGGAACAGCGGCGGTGTCCGAGTCGGTCGGGTGTGGAGCGGTGTCCGAATCGGACGGGTGAGGAGCGGTGTCTGAATCGGACGGGTACGGGGCTGCGGAGGTGTCCGAGTCGGACGGGTGAGGAGCAGTGTCCGAATCGGACGGGCCAAGCTGCGTGTCGCTGTCGCTGCCGCCCGTGTCCGAGATCGACGCGGAGTTGGAGCCGTCTACCGGGTGGCCCTGCAAAGAGGCATTTTTGGATATCGGGAGTCCCAACAAACCCTCTAGATATTCTGAATAGATTACATATTTCTCCGTGCTGTAAAGTTACCCCGTGAAGAGAAAGGTATGCTTCGGACGAGAGCCCCAGTAAACGTTTTCCTCTCTAAAGCTCTCAATCAAAGCGTTTCGTTCCCTCTTTGAGCGTGGCTTACGAAGATTTGGTCAAAAAAACACCGGGAGTCGTAACTGTTTGTCTACAGGGTGCTGATGATGTCAGCAGGGTGCCGCTCTAGTTTCTGATCAAACCACCGAGGCAGGAAGCGGATCAAATACCTCCGTGAGACCGAAGAAAACATTGATTACGAACTCCGGGATATTGAAGGCAACGTTACGGAGACTCACGTGCTGGCTCGCAGAGATTTACGACCTCTGAAGCGGATCATTCATCATGAAATTCAGCAAACGAGAAGCTTTAAGGGCCGCAGGCCGGGAAGCTTATCGGTGCCCTCACCTCTTCTTCGCTGCTTCCGGTGTCGCTTTCATGCACAGATGCTGTTTCGCTGTCCGAGGACCCGTCCGCAACCGGCGGCTGGGTGTCCGAGTCGGACGTTCCAGTGTCCGTTCCGCCTATGAGCACACGCGGCACAGCATCTCACTGAATACGGAACGCAATCGGACCCAGTCTCAAGGTCGGGGGCCGGATCTAAGATTCAAAGGATTCCGGGAAGTCGGCAGCGGACTTTGCGAGTATGGCCAACGTCACGAACGGAATAGCGAAGCAGTCGGGCGGAGTCGAGAGCCCCACTGAACACCGTTGGGTACAAACTAGCTCGAGCGACATACCACCGTCACTGCTTGGGTCACCTGCTTCGGCTTTCTCACTTCCCAAGCTCGGGGCAGGCCCTTCTGGTAGTGGTTCTGACACTTATCTGTATTAGCATTCCAATAGGGTTGAATGAGCCACGTGGCTCACTCTCAGTGGCTTGGGCAATTTCAGTTCCAGAGCTGGCCTGCGCTGTGTCTTCCTCAGACGACGACCCCTCCTCGGTACCCGTGTCCGCATCCTCTGCAACAGTGTCGTCCGAACCTAGGAGCAAATAGCAACAAAACGAGGATGAGGATTTCATTGCCCTTGCGCCCCAAGAATTTGGGCAGGCTCGTATCCGAAGGTGCAATAACACCGCCGTAGTGGTCGGACCAGCCGAAGAGATCCGGCGGACGCTGCACGTGCAACGCAATTCCGATCCTCAAAGATTCCATGAAGTCAACCAGAACGCCAAGAAAACGAGTAATGCGGGAAGGATTGCAGGCTTACTCGATGTTTCCAGATCTGAAATTTTGTGACCGTTGGTTTGTTTAGCCTCAATCCGCAAGGGTGCTAGCCCACGAACCGAAACAAAAAAAAGAGGAGAAGTTGAAAGGAATTTATCCACGCCCAGATCTGTCCTAGCACCATTCCTGTCGCAGAGAGTCGCAACAAATGTAAGGCTTTGAAAAGCACCTACAAGAATCAAAATTGACCATCATCTCACCTGTGTCTTCAGAGTCGCCCCCGCCCCCGGCCCCATTGCCCCCGGGCCACTGCCCGCCGCCTTCGCTCCCCTCGCTCGTCCCCGTGTCGTCAGACCCGGTGTCACCCGGCGGCGCTCCTCCGCTCGAAGATGACGCCACGCTGGGCGACCGGCCCCGTTTCCGCCCCTCCTTCTCGCCGTACACTTGCCGTCCGCTTTCTTCCGGGACGCCGTCCAGGAACGGACGTCCGCAAGGTTCGCTTTGTCGACCTTCGCTCCCTTCGACGGATGGTGGGCACACAGGTTCGGACGGAGCGATGCAATGTGGTGGCGGTTCTGATCGGTTTTGGGACATGTACTCCATTGGAACAACTGCGGTCCGAAAGTTGGAATCTCGGACGTCCGAAGCAATTTGACCGCACTCTGCATCGACCACTGCTGAAGCAGTGTGGGGCACTGAACGGGTGCTGTGTCCGTTAGTGTCTCGAGGACTACGCGACTCCACACATTCCGACTCCGATGGACAGCAAACTGATCTGGGCTCCGATTGGCCGCTGGGGCTTCGCTGCCCGGCCTTGCAAGCGCCAGCTCTGACGGCCTCCCTCGCTTCCGCCATCGGTCAGTGCACGCTGAGGACTCCCGTCGCTCTAGTCGCAATCGCCCCAGGCACGCTTTCACCTGTCTCCCGTTCCGTTCCTGCGCTAGAGCACTCCGACAACCCTGCCGTCGCCAATCTCTCCTCGTGGACCCCTCGCAGATTTTTTTTCCCTTCTCTCCCACCCCCACTGATCCCCTTTTCCGTTCCGTCCCCCTGAAACTGCCCCCTGCCAGCCCCCCCATGCCGCTCACTTACGCACCGCCCCTCCTCAGGCCCCTCAAACTGATGGAAGCTGCCTTTCCCCTCAACACGCCCATTGGCGACCCCCCGAAAGCGCTCCAATGCCCGCCGCGCCTCGTCGATCGCATACAGCACCCTCCGCACCATCGGGGCGCAACTCCCGGTCGCGTAACTCTCCTTGATCGCCCGCACGTAGCGCGCCCGGTTGGCACCCCCCCGAGTCAAAAGCACCGTAAACGGGAGGCCCTCTCGAGCGAGAACGAAGTTCATGAGCAGCCGGCACATGCGCCCGTTCCCGTCCTGGAAAGGATGGATCTCGTGCACGAAGACGAGGAGGATGTGCGCGGCTTTCGTCCAGGGGGGGAGCGAGGCGTGCGCCAGCACGCGGTTGCTCTCGGTGACCCAGCGCCGCATCCGCCAGGGCACCTAGAGAAGGACTGGAGCGTTAGTCCTTCGATTCGCCAGAAGGATTGCTGGTGAGCTTGAAAGGTAGGCATGCGACCAAAGGCTGGCGAAAACGTGGTGATTGAAAGCCAGTGCAAGACAAATGTCATAGAAGATCTTCGTTGTGGACCGATCATTCATATGCGCTTAATTGGTATTGAGACCCCTCGGTTGGTCTCTGCACGAGTCTCCGCCCTCGCTCGTAGCACAGGTGATGCTGGATTTGCAACTCATACACTACATGAACGGAAGCTTATTGCTGGTCATGCTTTGTCCAGACTATCCAGACTCTTCTCAGCATCTCCCGGGGCCCAGTCGACATCGTACCTGGTGACATCGTACCTGACTGGGTGACCAATCGTACCTGGTGATATATCGAAAATTTCCGGTTCGACAGTCCTGTGCCAATCTTTTCAATCTTCGGTTCTAGTACGTACATACGTATAGGTAATATCCAACGAGTGCGAGAGAATATCGAAGTTTCGCGTCGAACGAGAGCGGATATTCCACGAGGGCCTCCGAGGCCCGAGTGGAATATGAAGCTCGAGTTTGACGCGAAATCTTCGATATGCTCGAGCACGAGTGAGGGTAACCAACTTATCGCACGACCGGACTCTGATGCATCGTCGAACCTGGTAAGGGTCTCGCGTTTATCTAACGGCTGGAGCGTTGAATAAACATATATATATTCTCACCGCTGGGGTCGCCAAAGGAGTTCGACGCCGAAACTTTACCAATACTCAACGCCGAAATGGCTGAGCGCCAAAACCGGTCGTGGGATAACTTATAAGACACTGGACATTGTAGTGGAATGTTCGATAAGGTGCAACACTCCGGGCTCCCCAATTTTCCGGCCGTACTCCGCGCTTTTCGGCATATATAAGGCAAGTCGGTCGGTATTGACGTGCTTCGACCGGTGATGACGTGCTTCGTCGAGCTTTCAAAAGGGGTTATGTTTCGGGTTTGTTTGATGGCTGTGATTCGAGCTTCTGTCTCTGGGTTGACGCAAAGAAAACCCAGAAAGTTCAGGGAGATATGCATGAGACCGGGTTCTTTTCGGGTCCCGGTACGGTTGAAAAGTATGTACCGCACGGTACTAGGTATCATCAATGGCAAGCCACGGTCCCCCGCAGGGGGACTGATCGGTTCACCGCTTGTTTTGATACACTCTGCAAAATTCGCCAATGCCAAGGAGCGGAAGAGTCCTGGCATCCTTTTTAAAGTGGGCGTGCCCCTAAAATACCCCCCTTTGCTCGATTTTCCACGGAAAACATTGTGCCCGGGGGACGTCGACCTAGCGTAGTGGTAGTGCGAAGTGTCCAAGGCCTCAAAACGGAGGCTCGAATCCGTCAAAAATTTCTACTTTTTGGGTGTTCCGCAGAGCGGCGCATGCAGTATCACAGTGAATTTACTCGAGCCGATCACCTCGGAGTCTGAAGAGTCGAACTCGGACCTTTCAAATCAATTCGGGGTACGCCCCGGCGACTCCGGCGCTTTGCGGCGCAGGTCTCTAGATTTTCACAGTGACTTGTGATCTCCCCGTGTCCTCTGGACTCGAAGTGGACAGAGTTGCGAATCACCGTACGCCGGTGTCATTCAGTTTCAACCGAGCACCGACTTTCGAGTGACAAGCAGTATGTAGAATGAACCGTCGATGAACCGTGAAGTTGTGCGATCGACGGCGAGATTGGTGACGGATTGTGACCGCCGGCTGCCGGTATGTGCTTAGCGTCCGGCGTCACGGGTTACAGAACGCCCACTTTAACAGATGGTGGCGTTCGACAGGCTTCTTAAGATTTCAACTCTCTCAATAAAACAGAACATGACAAGATTTGAGTGAAGGACTGGTGACGGAGCTCCAGGAACAAAAATGGAGCTTACATCAGAGGTGGTGTCAAGCATGGCCATCGGTGCTGTCTTCAAGGATTTCGTGAGTTGTTCGCAGAGGCTTCTTTTTATTTTCTTGTTTACCTGGCTCTAAATGGTAGGCTGGGGGCAAATACCTTGCTCCACACGAGCAGAGAGTAAGCAAAAGGGTAATCCAATCCTGGTATTCCCATTCACCTTCTCAAAGCCCCTTCCGAAACAAAGGGATTGCGAATGTATCTTTTCCAGCCTTGTTCAGTTCTGGCTTGGCTGCCAGCTAAACTTCTTAGGCTGCCACAGACTCAGGGGCATCACAGAGTTAAGTGTCATATCTCACTTTTGTGCAATGCAGGACGGGAAGAAGATCAACTCCCTTGACTTCCACAGGACCGAGGACCGCCTCGTGACAGCCAGCGACGATGAGGCTATCCGGCTGTACGACACGGCAAACGCAAAGTAAGCAGCCTGATTTGTGTAATTGTGGTTCGATAGACTGGGTTGAACAATACTTATGCCCAAGCTCTGGAGAAGAGCCTTCACAAATGGGGGTAAGGGGTATTAAGTCTCCTCATGGCGGAAACATACTGCAGGTCCCAAGCTTAACAACCAGGGTGCAGTAGCTGAGAGGGTGATATTCTGAGCGTAGTGGATCAATACTGAGAGTGTGCAAAGATGATACTGGGTATCTTGACAAATCCCTCATCATAGCAACGTGCAGTTAGGCTAGGGCAGCACTGCAAAGGTGAAAATTCTTGAGCATCTGCCACTCCTTGATATAGGTGGTGTGCTTAGATCAGTAGTGAGACTATGATGATCACCCTGGTCGACGTCGTTAGAGTGAAGTCCTACTGATTGCTAGAGTCCGATTGCCGCTTGCAGGTGGTTAAAGACTATACACAGCAAGAAATACGGAGTGGACAAGATTGTATTCACACACCACAGGGACTCCGTCCTGTATTCTTCAAAGAATGGATGGGATGGTGAGTAGATCATGCTGAGGGTGAAGTTGCTCGTCAAATGTGTACGAAAAAATCTTGGCAGACTGCGAGCAGTATCTGAATCCACGCATGTAGAGAAGCCTGGTGTTATACCCTGCTAGTCAAGATCCTCTTGTCAGCTTCTCTGCACTGTTCTTGTCCTTGCTTGACTTAGGCAGGAGCGATTGTAACTATCCTTCGAACCTCCCTCTGCAGAGTCACTGCGGTACCTCTCCCTCCACAACAACTCATATCTGCGTTACTTCAAGGGTCATCGAGACAGGTACGCCCCCGTACCTCAGACAGACATTTCAGAGGAACGTTACTGCGTATTGGCCACAATTGCTTGGCTCCTTTTGTTGAGTTACAACCTTTTAATAAGAGATTTTGCAGATAAGTTCTTCCTCAATCTCATTGTTGCTTCTACTCTGGTTCAAAGAGGGCACCCTCTTCTACCAGACCAGTTCTCAACGGAGGACTCACCACCTTTTGTCTCAAATGTGCACACTCTTTTCGAACCCGGTTCCCTCTTGTTGTGCAGAGTGGTGTCCCTCTGCATGTCCCCCAAGAACGACATGTTCATGTCTGGCTCGCTCGATCACACGGTGCGGTTATGGGACCTCCGGAGCAACGCGTGCCAGGTAAAGCCTCTAGGCTTACTGATATGCACCGGGTCGAGCTTAGGTTCCTTGAACTGCCGAGCTTATGAAATCCTTTCTGTGGATCCGGAACATTGAAATCACCGTCAGAAAAGTCGATAAGATGTTGAAACAGAGGCAACGTCATCCTTTTCCCCTTTGGCCTGCTTCAGGGCAAGGCACAGTGTCTTAGGCAAATCGCAGCGAGGGCAAAGCTTGGCAATCCTATGAGAATGGCTGATGTCTTTTCAGCTTTTAGATTCGTAAAGCGAGGATTAGGAGCGTGTGCCATTGACAGCGCTTTCTGTCTGAGCTGTCGCTCGGCCCCACCTTATCTGGGTTGTTTATACGTCACCCGCAAAAGCTACTTCAAACGAAAGCATTCACGCAAAGCTCAGTTCAGCTCGGCCTGAGTGCTTTCTATGCACCGCTATTCATCGACTCTTCATGTGGTTTCAACGAATAATTGCTTGCTCATTAAGCTGACTGGAGTAGGCGCGTAGGCACGTGACGATTTTCTGACCGAGGCAAAGCATGGTGGACATGTCAAAAAACAAGAGGAAAAAACCTTCCCTGATTCCGCTTGCTTTCCTTAAGCGGGCTGAAAGAGTCAGTCAATCGAACTTAAAACCTAAACTAAGACTACATTTAGAGAGGAGACCATTTTCAACAATTCGATTTCAGCTCAAGTTCTGTATTTCCCGTGCAGGGGTTGATGCGCGTCCGTGGCCGGCCTGCGGTGGCCTATGACGAGCAGGGGCTTGTTTTCGCGGTGTCAATGGAGGGGGGCGCGATCAAGCTATTTGACGTGCGGTCGTATGATAAGGTAAGGTTAACACCAGGCTCCTTCGGTCTCCGCTCGATTTGGGTGGATACTTAAGAGGGTTTAACTTGGCCTCAGGGAAAAGTCGAGATGATCAGCCGTTCTTGCTGCAGCTAAGCCCGTTGTTGACCCCTTCTTGCTTGAAGTGGCTTCCCTGTATCCCGGTCCTCTCCATAACTCTGCGGAAAGCTGGGAGTCGGCCTGCAGGCGTTGCATTACTCTGTCTGCCTCTCTTGCTTTGCGCGGCCCTGACTGGTTGCGCATTCATATCTCCGAGTCTCTCTTTCAGCTCTGTCTGTCTATTTAATAGGGAACCACTCCAACCAAGGCCACTCGACATGTTCGACGACACGCAAATTAGAGGGTCAGCTCAAGCGGTGACAGATGTCGCAGCTAGCACTTATGAGAGGGCAGATTCAACTTGACACGCACCGTTGCCTTTGCGCAGGGCCCTTTTGACACTTTCTTGGTGGGTGGTGACACGGCGGAGGTGACGAGCATGAAGTTCAGCAACGACGGCAAGCACATGCTGCTCAGCACCGCCAACAGCTGGCTCTACGTCCTGGACGCTTTTGAGGGTCACAAGGTAGGGGTTCTAGGATTTGGGTGCTACAGGGCCACAAGGCCGTGAGGCTCTGTGGATTTGAAAGTCTCTTCCCGGTAAACCAATCACTACACCTGGCCACGATCTCGCAACCCTCCACTTTAGCTTGTAGGAAAGGTCTCCTGACTCTGCTTTTGAATCGAAGCTCAGCGTCCCAATCGAAACCTGCCCTCCCAAGGCCCAAAATGTTTCTCAGCATGAACCACTCGCTATTAGACCAGCCAAGGAGGCGGACACACAGGACTCCTTGTTGTGATAGCAGCGCCACCCAGCAGAGGTCTTCCGAAGCACTTTGCAGTCGTTGAAGGGTCCGTTATCCTGTTCTTCGCAGCTACATACGTTCGAACTGCAGCCGGTGGAGGGGGGCGGGACGCTCGAGGCCTCGTTCAGTCCGAACGGGCAGTTCATCGTGTCCGGTAAGTCGAGTAGCCCAACCAGCGCCGATTGCAGGAATTTTTGCTTGGATGCCCCTTCTTGGCTTTGAGTGTCGCCTTTTGACCAGTTCACCAACTGGCGCTACCGCATGCCCCCCAGAAAGACTGGGCCGATGGACCCTTGTGTCGCCATCCTGCTTGAAGAACTGCCGTTGCTTCTGCTATTTTACTCTACGTTGCCTTCGAGATTGAAAGCGGGATCTGTACCGGCTCAGCGGAGTGTGCACCATTTCGTTAGGTTCTTGAGGCAGTGGACTCACTTGCTGATATTTTGCGCAGGCTCTGGGGACGGGACGATCCGCGTCTGGTCGGTCGAGAGTGGAACAGAGGTGAGCGCTCTCTTTAATGAAGGACAGCGTGATGCAAGTGCACATAATTAAGCTCACCCTACCCAGGATATAGCGTGCTGCTCTCAGGTCGGGCAAAAGCTACAATATATGAATGCACCGGCCATCGGCGATGACTCATTCTGTTTAAGGGGCCGGCCAGGGTCACGAGGGAACGTTCGACTCCCTTGCATATAGTCAAGCTTCAAAAAAGTTTGACTCCGAGACCTATCATCTATGTGCAGGTCGCTTGTTGGGTAGGCCATGCGGGCGTGCCAGCGAAAGTGAAGTGGGCTCCCAGGCGGATGTTGGTAGCTAGCGCGTCTGAAGTTCTTGCTTTCTGGATACCCGACCTCAACAGGATAGCCGGCTTTGGAACTTGATATGTATCCGCGCCCTTTTACCGTTGTTGTGCCTTGAAAATTCTACTAATACAGACCGTTATCATGACCTGGTTGATGTTTGCGTCGTTTCGTGTGGCACATGACGGCAGACAATGACACGGCAGAGAAAACCCACGTCCAGTACGGGCCGGCCCGCCACTGTTGTGCCCGGTTGCAGGACATATATATGCAGTGTTCGATGTAGATGCAGTTTCGTGTGCGACAACCAGGATTGGCCGGCAAGAGTTCCCAGCCGCGGCGCGTGACCGAACTAAATCCCGCTTGTATATAACTCTGGGTGCACTCAGTGTGCTAGAATCAAGCTATTCGTATCGGTCATGTACAAATTCCACGACACGATCGCAATGATCAGTGCAAATAGCGCGGCACAACGTTATTGGAGCCGCAGCATAGCGTCGTTTGCATAGCAGATTCGCCGGCCCGGCCGTGCATCAGTGCGTATGCATGTGCGGGGCTGGCGCGCTCACTGCATCATACCCGCACGTACTATCGCCTGCTGACAGCTCTCCGAAATCTGCTCTCCGGACTTCTATCTAAATTGTGAAAGTCGATGATTGATACTCACTCCTCCGAAATTGCTGCTTAGCTCTTTTTCTCGACCTAGTAATGTCGGTGAGAGTTCAGTCACTTTCCTTGGGTCAGCCGCCGGCCGGGAAATCTCCATATAATCGATTGGCTAGCTGTCACTGTCTTTTAAATTGACGCGAGTAGCCCACAGAATTTCATCATCGTTGCCCTGTTGCCTTGACAAAGCACTGATATACATTGATTGTAGGAGGGCCTTTTGCATTCACGACCCATGTCTACACGACCTAAACCCGTAGACTCTTTTGAGGCGTACTTCCGAACCGCGAAGTTGTTTTACCGACGTACAGAATCGAAGAATCTTCTGCACATTCGTGGCACGGATCATGGCTTGCCCGCCACTAGCTTCAAACGACGCTTGGCTCGGTATACTCAACTGCCCAGTCCGACGCATCCGCTCTCTGCAGACCTCTCCTCTCCCACTTCACTATCGTTTCCCCGTTGCGGCGGCTGACCACCAGCTGTTTGAGTTGCGGACATTCTGCAAAAATGCTTTTAACCTCGGAAACGAACCGCACCAGAATCCTGCCCGGAAGCGGATCGATGATGATCGTCGTCGCCTCCCCTGCTTTTGTGCGATCCTGGAGTTTCGAAAGCAGCGCAGCCGCGAGCGGACAGTCCGAAGCCGCAAGCCATTCGTCCGCAAAATCAAAGTCCACTCGCTCCGCAGCGAAAGAACAGCCCCAAAACACTTCGAGGACTTCAAAATTTGTGGGCAACTGACAAAAAGGAAGCACGCCCAGCAAAACAGTGCTTTTCTCGGGTTCAGGTCTGCACCAGGCAGCCGCCTTCAGAAGCCGAACACCTGGCAGCCACGCCACTTGGCAAGGTTTACGCGAGCTTCTGCGCAGCCTTTTAGCTTGGGAGCGAAGTTTCAGTTCCGTAATATCCAGCTCTGCCAACTGGTCGTCCTGCGAGAAGCCGACACGTGGACCCTCCCCTCCGAGTTTCAACGCTTCGAGGCTAGGAAGGCGGCGGATCAAGCCCAAGAGGTTTGTTGCGGAATAATCAAAATCTTGTAGAGTGAGCTCCTTCAAGCTTGTGAGGAAGTGGAGCATATACTGGCCACAAGAGCCATCCCAGCGAATCAACTCACAGGCTCCTGTGGTGGATCCTAGGATGGGTATTTTGGAAGTTATTTCATACCAACAATCTTGCACTTAACCCACGGGAATCTGAAAAGAGGGTTTAGTATTGAGCATAGGCTCTCCATGGTCCGCGGTTCGAACAAAACCAGCTCAGAAAGGCGGGACCGTTTTTGGATCTCTTCCGAAAGCCTCTCCATATTTGTGCGCAACGCTTGGCCATGGGGCATGATGGCGCGCCTTGAAACAGTCTTTGCAACGATGGCGTTCCCGTCTGCCCCGCTCCTGTTCGTCTGCATGCTCCTCTTGATGGCGACGGAGGCAAAGGTGAGGAAATGATGGTACTTCCTTGATGCAGAAAACCTCCGACCAGTCCTCGTTGCTAAGCGACTCATCATCGTCGAGCAGCTTTTATGTCACCCCACATCGAGTTGCAGGCTTGCTGATTCCGTCAAACATCGAAATTGGAATAGGTTTTGAATGTGCGGGGATGTTATTTTTCTCCCACGTCCAGGTGTCCGCCTCCGCGCCTGGTCAGGATTTCCGCTCGAGCGAGCGGAACATCGGCGGCGGAAGCGGCAGAGGTGCGCATCGCCAGTTGCTGCAAATCGGTAAGCTTACTTAAGTCAACGCTGTGCTTTTCAAACTCAAAAGGAGCCTTCGCCGCCCTGTTCTTACACCAGTTGAGCCCTTTAAAAACGCAAGGAACCGGCTAAAGAGCCGTAAAAGTGTGAAGGTTTCAAGCGGTGATCGGCTCGGAGTTTTCTCAGATTTTGAGAGTGTAGCTGATTCTCCATTTGCTGGTGCCTCCATAGATTTTTTCCCAATGTATCTGATTTCTTTGACGCGAGTTTGATGCTCGCAAGCACGTATGCAGGCCGAATGGTCACGCGTCGTTTCTGCCCAGCCGGCCGGTTTTTCTAACCATCTGGCTGACCTTGACCCACTCCAGTTCACCAGAACGAATCGGGTGATATCAGGCCCCGTATCTTTGAGCTTGATAAAGTGATTGTCCGTGTCCTTGTACTCCAAAGAACGAGAGATCGACTTGCTGTAGCGCCTGATAATGAGCACGAGCATCTATCAGTTGCAGCTCCTCGCTCCAACACGTTCCTTATATCCGATGACTTGCAGGTGCGGTTACGCCCATATGCCCTCCCAAAGACACGAAGAACAACTCGGTAGCGCTACTGGCGTGTTTCTACTTAGTCCGGCTGAATGCCACATACTTTAGCAATTCGTACGCCTCTTGTACCTACAATGAAACCGGTGCCCGAGTGCCGAAGGATTCGCAAGTGGACGATGCAAAGCTTCTCCCATGTCCAGGTGAGCCGTACAATGTACCGTAGACACTTCCACCCACGTTGCAACTGATTTCACCCTTGGAAGACAGAATACTGACCTCAAGAAATGAGTTCAGGCTTGCTAGGCCGTGTGCCCTCCCAAAGCTTAATTAACGCTCCTCGTCCTTTGGGTGCACCGGACAATGATCAGGAAATGAGAAATGGTTAGGAAATGGTTAGAACGGTTGGGTCAACGAGTTGACCGTATTTTGGTACCTCCTCACTGCAGGAAGCACACCCGTCCCCTATTCGTGCCCTGGCGTGGAATCGGTTGGGTTTCGCCCCGCCACGACATTCCTCAGATTTCATTGCCTCTACAATACTCCAGCCGGGCTCCCTCGGGTGAGGACCGATGTAGCGAGAACAGTTTCATCCTGTGAACAGTAACAGAGACGGGTAGGGTTAGTTAGGGGGTTCGGGTGCGGAGCGGGTAATCTTCTTGGTTAGGCTTTTAGTGAACCTCGAAATGCTTATTGTTCACTGGGCTTAGTGTTCACTAAGTCGAGAATTACCTCCCTCAGGGTCAGGCCGTCCTGAGCGTAATCGCTCCAGGAAGCTGCATCTACGAGCCAACTGGCGCAGTCATCAAGTTCATCGCCAATCTCAACTGTACTGGTGGGTCTTGCATCTTCTTCGCTGAAAAACGTTAGGACATCCTGCCTTCATCGCCGTTTCCTCTCAAATCCCCTCAGTCCGATGATAATATCTGAGTCTTAGAGCCGACAGGAAAGTTCACCTGCTGATGGTTCCTCCAAGTCCAGCACTGCTAACGAGTTAGGTATTTCACATTTGGCCCGATTTGTGGAGAGTTTCGACGAAGGAGTCCACCAGATTAGGATGAAAGGGCACGGACGAAACAGTGAGCCGCTCATTGGGGTCTTCAAGTGATAGAATTATCAGCCGACCAGATAAACAAAACGCATACCGTTCGAAGGGGACAATTTTGCCACAGCTGCATCAGTAAAGCAAATCGTTGCATGAACAGCCCTTAAGAGAGCTCTTCGTCTTTACGGCCACTGAAGCGGTGCTCGTTTGAGGCCGATTATTTGCAGGGAACTGGGACCTTTGTAAGCAGGTCGAAAAGACCCCCTACGCAAAGAAGCAAAAGAAGGTTGTTAACATCGACCTGAAATCCACTTCATCGTTTCGTATTTCCCAATCAAGTACCGCTGTCGTGCTCATGATCACCTTATCGAACTCGTGCAGAAACCGCTATTCCTTCCTTGGCCATGCCAACCAACGGTAGGTTTCCATTCCTTTTCTGACCTGCACCTAGCCCAGTCCCCATGTACGGTAACCTTAGTGAGCCATATCGAAAACAGCACATCGTAGATAAAATCAGTTCTGGGTTGCCTCTAGTACAAGCCGAGGGTTTTAGTTTCAACCCGATTGAACATATCGCTTATCCGAACAAGTATAATCTGGATACGGAAAGTTGCTTGCCCAATCCGGCCGATCATCTGAGCAAGATATTGCAATGACTGTAGAACCTTGTTCTCGTCCCTGTTAGCTCCGTTACGCATAAGATTTGCCTGCTAACCAGGCTGATTATCGGACTTAAGTATAGGGCTATCAAAGAATCAATTGGACGTAAAGATTGTTCCAGAGATGGCTATGTACCGCCCAAGTCGGGTTATTGAAAATCCAACTACTCTCTAACCAGCCCATGACCAGCCCAGAACCAGCCATGGGTACTGAGGCCAATTGGGCCGAGAATGATTTTATCGGCTTGGCGGGAGATCTTGGTCGTACATCACAAACGTCGACCCTTTTTAACGGTTCTACAACCAGCTTCACCTGTATTTCAACGGACGACAACCTCCGGCCTTTCCAGACTTCCTGGAAACCCACAGCCAGTAACGGCCATGTTTGGTGTATTTTCAAGGTTCAGGTCGAACAATTTTAGTATTTACCCCCCTCCTCGATAATTCTCATAAGTCGGTTTAACTCTTTGTCTTTGCCGCTCCGCCAGCTAGCAACCTGACTGCGTGCACCGACATCGGAGCCGGCCGCAGCACCGAGTGAGCGAACATTCCGACGGGCCCCTCCGGCTTCGGCTTTAACAACTGCGCCTGCGGTTCGTACATCGGGGGCCGCCTTGCAACTAACGTAACGAACGTCTGCGGAGCAGTAGTGAAGTGCAGTGCCTGCACCACCGGTTGTAACTGTGATGCAGATTGTCTCTTCGGGTATCACTGCGCGCCCGACTGCGGCGGGGTTCCGCCCCCCCCAAGCGTCACGGGGAATCGCACCGGAGTCTGCGTGCCCAACTGTGGCACCTTGCCGGGTTCGAAAGGCTGTTAGAACGGGAGGACAGAGAACATGGACTCCCGAGGAGATATTAGAGACCCCTCCTAAGCATAACCCTCTTGATTCGACGGTCTGGGTTGTCTTGTCTGCAAATCTTGAACGTCGATCAAAGGGGTTATAACGGAAGGGGGTGCCTAGGGAGTCCGCTAGGAGTCCCTCTTCTCCGTCTTTCTGTTCTGTTCGTGTGCACCTTGCAAGGAAGTGAGGATGTGGGAAGGGCCGTTTCAAATCTGGCAAACGGTGGTCCTAAGCAGATTCGGCCTACATAGGATGTTGAACAGAGCGGAAAGCCGCACTGAGCCATTTAGAGCGCCTCGCGGCTTTTTCAAGACACTTTAAGATTGTGGAACTAGATTTGTACACGTTTTGCTCGTTTAAGCCGTCTCGCCCTTGTCGCGAACTTGTAAGGGCCCTAGCCTCTGGCTTGAGTAGTACGTTGGATACCAGTGGTTGGCAGTATGGAGACATTAAACTAAAGTTGCACATACATTCTCGCTCCCTGTCCAGATGCCTACCAGAGAATCCCTTGTGATCTGGTATGCAAATTCGTGTGAATTACATGAGTCTAACGAAAGAGTCAGCTAACGCCTGATGATTGGTTGACTGGGCTTCTACAATGTGTCGGCTGACTTATTTCTGAAGCCACTCCCCCGGAACTCGGGCATCTAACAAGATCCGTTAACATGATTGTATCGATATTAGCCTTCTTGTAGAGGATGTACCGATGTCTGCGTTGAAAAGTGAACACCGAGAACCCGTACAAACATTTGGCGCATAGCGCCTTCTTAAAGTTTCTCAAATCTTGAGGCCACAGCACTTCGTGTACCGTTTAAATCTTGGGGCTGTTAATGCGAATCCGACGTACGAGATGGAAGACCTCCTGAACTTAACTTAAATTTCCAATATATTTTCGATGAGCTTCAAAAGCTTCATGCCGCCATTGTTCATCTCCCAAATTTGCACCCCTTGGAAAATGAACGGCCCTGAGTAGGAAACAAAACGCCGTGGAAGCATGTCTCGAGACATTCGAACAAGCAACAGAACTTTGAAGGAACGTGCACTAGCTGTCGAGGCGCACATGGATGTGCAAGTTCCCCGGTCAACCAGGCTGCCGATTGCACATCTCTGAGGGGCGACGCAGCGGAAGTCACACGCCTTGCGAATTTCAACTTCCGTCCCAAAAGTGCATTGCCTCTTCGATCTTTCTTGTCATTAATGGGGATGATCCGACCCCCCGGCCAACAATTAACTCATACTGATTTTGTAGTCATTCGCTTCCGAAGGCCGGACTGTCCATCGTCGCCGCGCGCGCGCGGCGCACACTGCGGTGAGGGCCCCGCCGCTATAACCTAGCAACACGGTTTAAGGGGAATCACCCCCCCCCCTATGCTGACATGCTCGCCTAGGGCCTAAGTATAACCAAGCGTTTCCGTCCTATAAAAGCTTTTGTATGGTACGGACCGTCTGGAGCGACATGAAAGTACCACGACTTGGATGCAATTTGCAAACTTGCACCATGCAGGATCATGCCGATCACTGTTGCCCGCACCTTAGATATGCCTGCCAAGTACATCCCCGTTCAAGATTGCAGTACATGAGCATTTCAACTCAAATCGCCTATACCGTTGTCACAATATATCTATTCTTAGCTACATCGGTGGTACATACTACAGTTCCGAAAGCTCTGGGTCTCGGTCATTATTCTCCGTGTATAGTCAACACGTGTCTTAAGTAAACTTACTATTGTGCTCACAACATTTTGGACCGTTCTTGTCAGTAACTGCGGATGAAGGCTCTACAAATCAACTACCTGCAGTCTGTTATAGTCAAACAGGCCGTCCTATTGTCACAACTGCGCTTATTCAAGAGCACTCTCGGACGCATATGCTTTGCAGCTGCGCCTGCGTTTGCGTCGGGAAGTTGGGCACCCACGTCTGGCGGCCGTCGGCGCATCCGACGGTGCCGGTGCCGTTGGTGTAGGTCGTCACGTCACACGTCACCTGCTTGCCGCCGACGCCGTCGCAATTCCAAAGCGGCGTCTTGACGCACGACAGATAGTGGCACCAACTGCACTCCTTGTTTGCGTCGACTCCAGTGAACACCGCGATGAAGGCCGCAGTGAACAGGGCCAGAAACACAAGGGCCGCGACCACCTGGACAAGACGGAGGTCTGTTCAGGATGGAATCCGGTTAGGAGTCTACTTATTCGGAAAGGCAGCTCAATCTTGCTCAATCTTAAAGGATTTCTTACAGATTCCTCTGAGGAAAGTAAGACGCAATCTTCTGGGGGATCGATTTCCACTTCGGGAACGGCGACTTGATCCTCAAAGGAATCCGCAAGGACTCCAGTTTGCGATAGGGAGACTCGATCGTCAAAAAGTCGTAAGGACTTCATCTCAGAATACGAAGACTCAATCGTAAAGGACATCCGGAAAGGACTTCGTCTCAGGGCACGAAGACTCAACGTCAAAGACGCTCGTAAGGAATCATCCCGGAAAAGGGAGAGTCAGTCGTCAAAGATTGGCATAGGTCCACTTCAGGAAACCGAGTTTGGAGCGACCAGTGGGCAGTTAAGGATATTCGGAAGTGATCGCTCAGCCTCCTGAGGTGCTTCACACCCTAGATTCCTATTTTTTCAACGACAATCACACTGACAGACCATGCAAGGTCGGGGTCAAAATAGCAGACGAACCAAGGTCAGGTCCTGCCAAAAGGCTTCTCCCTTGCCTAAAAACGTGGCCGTGGAGCTGTCTGCTCGAACGGGCCATCAAATTTCCAACAAACGCACAGCCTTACACTCGACCACGGATTTTCACGGCCGCCATGGATCCAGTGCCCAAGAAAGATGATCAAAACCACGACTCGTATTTCGGAATCAATTTTCTAAGTCCGTAAAAGTCTCAAGCAATACAACAACTATCAGAGCAACTAGCGGAAATGAACCACCCTACGACCCAGAAAACCCCAAGGTGCGAGCGCGCTTCTGCAAAGTTGCGCAGGCAGCTCACCTGGAGCACGTATTGGTACGTCTTGTGCTTGCGCATTTTGGGCGGGTCCACGTGCATGTACGGCAGCGCGGGCTCGGCCGCGTAGTCGCGGTACAGCCAGCTGAACTGCGGCTTCACGAATAGCACGAAGCCGAGCAGGAAGCCGGTTGCGAGCCCGCCAAGATGGCCTGCGTGCACCAGAACGGGACTCTAAAAATGCATCGTTCTGTGGTTTCGCGGTATGAACCACACGTTGAGAGGTTCGACGCATCGCGCTCGAGGATGAAAAAAGCTGCCGACAGGATGCTGACGCAACTGTCTCAGCTGTGGCAATGGTGGTACATGGTGCCTGCTTGGGTCGGGTTCAGGGCTGGGCCAGGAGGGGGACGCTAGAAGCAGAAAAGCGGGCGGAACCATCGCGCTTCCGTGTGGGTCTGGTAAGACCGAGGCAGCGAGCTACAAACTGCAACGGAAAGGGATCGAGCTTGCACGAGGGTGCATGGTTAAGGATAGCAAAGCCGAGTTCTACGGTCTTGGTTGATCAGATCCTAAACTTCTGGAACGTTCAGGGTAAGCGTTCTAGGGGCAGGCAGCTTACAGAAGTTGTCCACTTGCGGAGTGAGGCCGAAGGCGAGGTTGACCGCAATCAGGATGAGCAGGCTCAGTAGCGATGCCACCTGCACAAGTACGGAAGGAGTATCGCGTCAAATCGCAGACAGTACAGCGAACTCTATGCGGAGAAAGGCGTTATAAGGTGGGGGCGTGTTCATAATCGTCGAGTTTTCAAAACTCGACGCTGAAAGAACGTGTGAATGGACGCTTGCTTGATCAGAGAAATTCACGGGATAAAACGAGGTAACAGTGATCCGCGTCTCATCAGTTGTGTGATCGCACCAGGCACCTTTCGTTTCGGCTTTTGTAAGAGCAGTACCTGTGTTTCGATCTGTTTCGAAGTATTATCTGAAGGGGCGGTCACGACTCAACGAATGAACCAACAGATGCATTCCAGGGATGTCCTGAGTACAGCTTGGAACGCGATACAATGAACGCAGGAGCTACTTTCCTGCAGCCATAAGACCCGTAGCATGGTGAGCAGGAAATCCTAGGAGGCAAGGTGCTGATCTTCGAAGTGTGAATGGTCAACTTAGTGAGCAAGGGGCCATCGCAAAAGCCACAGTGGCAAGGTGCTGACCTTGGAGGTGTAAATGGTCCAGTTAGTGAGAAGGTCCGCCAGCGTCGCACCCAGCAGCCCAAACAGCGCACCCGAGGCCCCCACGCTGATGACGTTGGTAAGGAACAGGGCTGACATGAGGGATCCACCCACCCCGCTCAAGAAGTAGAGAACAATCAGGCGGACTGCATGATGTAGAGTGGCGAGTCAGGGGGCAGTGCACGCAAGGCGGGTGATCTGATTGGATTTCGACTCCTGGGATTTTAGGGTGTCAGTGATGAAGTTGCTTGGAAAAGAAAGTGGAATCTGAGGCTCGGGGCAGAGATGTCCAAAAGGAGTCAGCGCACTGCTTGATAGGCTATGATGACAATCACGTGGATAGTAGGGCGTTTCGAGGGACTGCTGCGCTGAAGCTGACTACTGCAGGAAGGGGCGCTCCCCAGCTCATGGCTATGGCCTGGTTCAACGTCCACCCTTTTCCGGTTCTGCCGTCTCATCACTCAAAACTTGTCGCAAGCGCTGCCGCAATGCACAAAACAAGATACTCCAACTTCAGACAAGGACCTAGAGTCCAAAGTAGGCATTCGAACAAAGGTAAAAGCGCTCAGAAAAGCTCAGAAACTAATGGACGCACATCGGCGCTGCTGACCTCACCTGCGCCGAAGTCCTTCTCGAGGCGCACCCCTACCACTAGGAGTCCGAGCATGTTTACGAGCAGGTGGAAGACGCCGCCGTGCAGCCACATACACGACAGCAGCCGCCAGCCACCCCCGTGGCGTATCGCTGATGATTGCAAGCCACCCATGCGCAGCAGCCTGTTGGGAGCGGCCAATAAGGATCAGCGTATGCTCAAGCAGTCAGGTGGGGAATCTAAAGTGTCAAAGATCAGGGCAGATTGATTGGTTGATGGACAATCAGCCCCTCGTCCATCCTCCCCAATATTCTGTATCTTCAACAACCAATATAGCACTTCTGCCCACTCTGAAAGTCAAGGCGATTGGCCAGGGATCGCTGTTGCAAACATAGCCAATCTGGAGGGAATGGATGTCGAGGAAAAATCAGATACTATAGAGTAGTCCCCGCAAGCTCTGAAGGCAGCTTATGTCCACATTTGCATCTTATATCTCCAACAGTGTAGAGATCCTAAACAGCCAGCAGAAGACACGCTAGATTGAGCTGTGTGCCCAGCCGGAGTAAATGACGCCCTTACGTGTCTGCGGCCGGTCCGAGGAGGGGGTTCTCTGACCAGGGCTGAAAAGCGAGGCGGCCCAGCCATGTGGCTATGCAAGAAACATGGGGACTCTGCAAGAGAATCAGCATATGCTCAAACCCCGCACTTTCAAACTGATCCTAGAGGAGTGGCGGTCTTCGCACAAATAAAGCATGATGGAAACAACGCTACCTTATGATCAGGATCAGAAGACAATGTTGGAAATACTGCCTATGTCGACATAAACGATATGGACCGATGCTGAAGTGAGACGATCAGAGTCCTCCACTGGCAAATTGAGCTGAAAGCCATCCGACCAGGGTTGTTTGAGCTTGCAAAGCAAGCTTAATTGATTTTAGGGTTCCATTCTGATCCCTTTCTGAGGTCACTCCCCTTGGGAGCAGCTTCTTTGACAAGCTCAAGAATGATCACAGGAGCTAGACTCACCTGGTGTGGACAATCATTCTCATACATCGTGATGATGAACAATGTCACGCACGCAACTACAATGAGGGGGATCACCCAGAAGAATCCACACCGCCTTGACTTCTGCCGTCCTGCTGCTGACCGCTGCCGGTATAAAGCTGCATCTGAAGGGAGGGGCGCTGCCCCAGGCGTGCCAGGGGGGGGAGCTGAGAAATTTTGAGCCGGAACAGGGGGAGTTGCAAAGTCGGCTGCATTGGGGGGGTAGACGACGCTGTACGGCGCAGCATACTGGAGGTCATGAAGGGGCTTTTCTTCAGTCTCGGGCTTGGACAGCCTTCGGAGACCTGACTTTGGAGACAGCTCTCCAGAATACTGCTGCACACGGGGATTCTCTTCATCCTCTGCAGTTATGCGTGCACCAGGCGACAAATGTGGCGCTTCGCTGAGGACTGGGGCCGAGGGTGACTCTTCCGGCACATCTTTCAGAGGCCTTCGACGGGCCCAACTCCCCATGCTTGCAGGAACTATCGGAACTCTCTGAAGGTAAGATGATCTAGGCTGCTGTCTTGACTGAGGCGGTGCAAGCTGCTTAAGAACCCCTATGGCTTCTCAATGCAAGATCAGATGCTGCCACCAAACACCAAACAAAGCTTCAACGTCCTGGCAAGGGAATGTGTACGTCTAAAGGACGCCACAATCAGCGTGCAATTGACGTCCCTCCCCCAAGAGCAACTTGAAATTGAATGCCCAGGTGCAATTGCCTGTTGGATCAATGGGATCGACCCAGATGGACCTTCCAAGCAGCACAAACAGAGCGCACAAAGTTGCCACAAACATGCCTACCTATGTGGATTCAAAGCACGCCCGTCAACTATGCCAGGCGTTGACCTCCTCCTGAAACATCAGCCGTCCGATCTCAGATCGGACGATGCCTAAAGCAGGACTGTCCGAACGGGGCCAGGTTATCAAAAGTTTCAAATTCGAAATTATCTGCCTGCTGAATATCCATAATAAACAGGCAAGCGCATGGATATACCGGTATATCGCAGCTTTCGATGTCAACAAGTTGGAACGTGACTGCACATGCATCTATAGCAGCATATGGCCCAGGGCCATGGGTGCGTGCAATTCTACCTACTTGAGAATGCAACGTGCACAGTCACATGTTTAATTTGGCATGAATTGATTGACGACGGATGACCATACCTATGATCATGCGCTGCCACATTCCTGTCAAGGGGTAGCTATGCCAATTCCTGGCAACAAAGCGCACCAGATTGACCACCTGCGGACTCTACTGCAACGTTGAAGCAGCTAGATAGAATGCATGTATTAAGAAGCTTACGGTATTGGCCGATTCGATTATCAAGCTGAGAAGTTAGAAACATATACAAAACATCGAAGGTATGGTCGATACAGGCCTTGAGGAGCTTAGTATTTGACTTGTATAATTGACAATGTCTGACCAGCCTGAGCGGGTCGACTTTAGGAGGCACGAAAGGAGCTTCCCGACATTGGATAACCTACTCGGATATCCGCCTGAACGTCACACTCTGCTATCTGCCTGATTTTTCGTGCCTCTTTTGTCACATTGCTTCGGGGGTCCTGATGCCAAAAGGTAGGTTATACTCAACAAAATTCCTCTGCATTCGCCTCTCTCCTTGTAGCAGACCTTGACGACCTGCTCGTTTCTACAAGTAACGTCTTCAGCCGGCATTTCTACCTAAGCCGAACCCTCAGATCTAGCCCGTCTCAGCGTCTCTGGTGTTTCAGACCTTGTTTTCGCACCCTCTATCGAGTATCCTGATCAGTGCCTCCCGCAGGTGCACTTTGTGGCAAAGACCAGGAGCCGGGGTCATCGAGGGTTTATTGTCCCGCAAGCAAATGCTCTCCGGCCCACCGAATCCACTTCGTATTGCACCACGCAGTCCTCAGTTCCTGCAGAAAAGCCGTTGGCAGTTTGACGACCACCTTGTGACTAAATCTATGCCAGGTCTGGACGATTCTTGAGCCGGCAGTGAAAAGCATCTCCCCGAGATCCCAAAGGTTCAGGTGAGTAAAAGCATCTACTGGGCGCAAGAACGTCAATGTATAGACCTTCTAGTGCGCACCGCCAACCCATAGCCCTGCTAGCGGACTGCGTTACCTGGCACCGAAGTGCCCAACTTAGCCTCGTTTCTCAACGGTTGAAAACGCCAGATCAAAGCGAACCGTGCAACAAGCTAAGCGATGCTCAGACGTCGACCAGAATACCGAATCTTCTGTGGCGACTCCTTGGCTGCAAAGGCTGCCAAGAACCTGGCGAGGACCCATGGAAAGTCCGCACAGCACTCGTGAAACGCTCGTAATCGTACTGGCTGAATAGACCAAACGAGACAACAAGAACATTTCCTGCAAGATTCGGACAGCATCCGATGCCTAGATGACATCAGCGGGCCCCTCGACATGGTCCGCTAAAATAGATGTTCGTTCCGCCAGCTTTCCCGGGCTCTTTTCAAAAGATCTCCTCACCTACAAAAAGATGGGAGGCGTCCTTGCTGAACGCCAGCCCCGATATGTGCGGCTCCTGATCCTCGTCTCCCAGCCTTATCGTCTGCACGAAGAGAACAGGGTTCCTTTCGATGCCAATCTATCCGGAAATTGGTGAACCCGCTGGCTGAAAGGACGGCCAAACAAATGTGACTTTTCAGTGCTCAACATTTCATATGCGTCTTCTCCTGGGATCGCTAATCGACCATCCAACACCGACCTCCGACTGCTGTAGGTCATTCCAAGAAGTACTGTTACGAAGATAACGCTCAACTTCGGTAGAGAAAGAGTCAGAACAGTAAGCGCCTGACAACACCTGTTCCACCATGAGCGCAGTTGAGGTGTTTCGAACGGGATCCTTGTCTACAGTTCAAGTCGCTTCACGTCCAAGCCCTTCTGCAGATCGAACCCGTGGTGACGTCAAGATCAACTCGACTCGTTCATGCGGCGAATGATTTGTCTTGACAATCTGAGATGCGCCCAATGCAGCCGATCGGGCTCAGCGATCGGACGGCGGTCAGCGCACCTGTTTCCTATCGTACGTCCGGCTGTCCACCACGTGGACGAAGGAGGTATGCTCCGAAAAAGCTAGCAGGTCGTGCGGGCCGCGGGTGTACTTTACCACGCGGCACGCCCCCTGCACACGCAGTACGTCGTTTAGATAACCAGAGCTTAGTCTACTTTTCAGGATTTTAAACTTGACTTGCCGACAAGGTCGCTTGACGACGCGGCGTGCAGACGCAAGTGAGAGACCAACTTGCGGATAACAAGCAACGGGAGGGTGTGAGTCTCGCTGTCTGCTCACCTCCTTCGAGTGGAACTTGGCCAGCACCTTTCCGAACCGGATGTCCCACACGCAAACCGTTCCGTCCTGCGGGCGAATGGACGGACATCAAGCTAAGCGATTCGTTTCAAGGATCCAGAGCTGACCATCCGCGACCTTAAACAGACGGTGAAGACGGATTGAAGGAGCAAAAGCCGCAGAGGCGGTGCATGTACGGAGGATTGGTAGACTATTCAAGGACAGATGCCAACAGCGTGGGCGCAAGTCAATTTAGACTGAGTATGTATCCCATAAAATGCAACCCAACAAGCTAGTGGGCATTCAAGAAACCGGAAAGCCAAACACCAGTTTTTTAGCTGCTGCACGGCCACGACCTGGCACATCTTCAAGAGCTCGCACGATAAGTGATGCCGGCAATTCGAGGCTGGATCAAGAAGGAAGCGTGATTGACTACAGGTAATACAAGACCTGGCTTGCAGGCAGTCAACTTACGCGGTATGCGAAGTTGGGGCAAGAAGCTTCAGAAAGCACTTGAAAAAAAACCCACCTGACTAGCTGCCGCGAAGGCGTTCCCTGCTGCGTTCCATGAGCAGCACATCCCGTGGTCCGAGGCTTCTGCAGTCGCCGGTGTGACGTCAGAACAGCTCGACAGATGCGGAAGGAACAAGAGCAAGACAGGCCAACAACATCATTAAAGAAGAGTAGCCTGAGAAGCAGATATAGACTTAGACGGACCTTTTTCTGCTCTTTAGAGACCAACGACTAATCTGGCTATCTTGCATTCTTGTTGAGTCAACTTCAGAAAGTTGGGCGACAATCGAGGTTCTCGAAGGTTTGGACTGCCGAGAATCAATTGAAGCATTCATGTCAATTCCGGCAGATTGTGCGGGTTTAAATTTTCTAATATCTGCACTGATGGGAACCGGCACTTTTTCTTCAATACACACTACAATCGGAACCTTGCGGCGTAAAGAATCTTAGCACTACGGGTTGCCAAACGGCGTGGGTAAAGTGAAAGCAGCTGTAAGAGAGGTTGCGATTAAGGAGAAACTCTTGGCCTAAAACGTTGTTGTCAAGATATTGCTGCAGTAAAAGAGAGAAGATCAAATGAACGATCGACTCTGCAGTGCTGGTGTCAGATCGAAGAATCAAGGCAACTAGAATCTGTTCTCACCGCTATATGTGGTGATCCGATTGAAGCCGTTCTTTATACTGTACAGGTAAGCATGTCGCGAGTCCCCTACACATGCCATGTAACTCCCGCATGGAGACACCTGCACCGGAGGTTGCTTGATTGAGACCCGCCTCTTGGTAGAGTTTGATAAGAACACAACAAAAGCGCAGACCCTTAGGACCCTGCCGCGACCATTCTTACAACTGCCCCTGATCGTATAATTCTGGAATCTGGATTGCAGCAAGAAGCGTCCCCTAAGTGGCTATTGAGGAGCCTCACACGATGAAGAGGAGGAGCGGACTCTTCGCTCATCTTTGAAGCACGTTCCACAAAATGGAATCTGTGCCTCAGCAATCTCACTCAAATAGAGCCTACAGCATCAGCTCACCGCAGTGTAGTTGATGGCGACGCTGCAGAAGATGGTGTCCAGTTGGACCATCCCAGGTAGGCTCAGCACCTTGATCGTGTCATCGTTGTTGCTGACCTGAATCATACACATAGGTACAGAGACATTAGAGCCATCTATATTCCATCCTTTTTGCTGACCCAGAAAGTACGTAGCGAGAATTGTCGCACTATCGTGACTAAGGTTGGTGGTTTAAGAGGGAAGGGATCCACTCCACCTTGACGGCAACAAGGTATGACCGTGTGGATACAGGAGCGAGGACAGGACGTGTCTGGGCCAGGTTGAACCCTGGGCAACACGCAGAAGGAACCCTCAATTGATACGGAGCCCAGAAAGCGGCTGAACTACAGATAGAGACTGCTCTCTGACCGACCAGAATCCAAAACTGAAGCCAACATGACCGCATAAGGCCGAGCGGAAAGAAAATATCTCAACAAGCGCCGTCCTTTCTTGGGCCCCTCGGCAAGGAAAAGTGAACAGTACATGGTCACAAGCAGGTGCCTTGAACACCGGCCTGTATTTTCGTAATCAAACGAGATGTCTTCAGCGACTGGCTTCCCCATGGTAACCTCACGTCGTTACATAGTTTGATTCGGCGCCAGTCATAAACACAACCATGGCGGCGAAACACAGAAAGACAGACCTCCAGATGAAGCAAAGGTGCAGGATCAAGCCTGCAAAAGCTCACCAGTAGCCAGACATCGCCAGGATTAGGTCCCCTTGCGATGTGCAGCGCGTTATTTACCGTCCCCCCAGCGACCCCATTGAATACACAACTGCGTAAGAAGCATCAAGATGTCATCATCACATCAGAGTACGATCCATCTGGGGTGCATAGGTATCGAGGGCCCCACTCGGGGCGTGCTAGAACTTGCTTACTACTGTGAGGGACACAACCAAGAAGGAACAGCGAAAAACACTAAGGCGGAAGCGTCTGATCATGCCGTGTTGTGCACCACTCTCACCATCTCTCACCATCAAAATTAATGCAAAGCAACTGCGAGGTTGGCAACAAACCCCATCAACCTCAAAAGTTATGCTGAAACAACCTAAGGAGGATCTGAGCACGCCCAGTGCACACAGTGGCAAGCCCACTTGACCTGGACATTAGTAGCGCGTAAGAGGTTGACCACCAGAGCTCCAAAAAGAATTGGGAAAGAAGAGACTTCTCACCTATTATCCTCTAGTCTAGTGACGGTCAGCTCGCTCTGCTGCCCGCCGCTTGCTAGGAAACCACACCCAACTGTCATGCTCGTCGGTGAGTAGTCAAGGGTCTGCAGCAATCAGAACAGAACAGCCCCTTTGACATCTTGTTGGTGAAAGAATCTGCGGCTACACATATGCTGCTGCAGGCACAGATGCTTGGAAGCTGAAAGCTAAGTTGAAACCACAATGGGAGCATGATGAGCAAGCAATGCTGTCGCCTTATTACAAGTCGTAATTGCAAGCAGCTTACATGCAGCACTTTGACAGACAAGAACAGGTTTTGAAAGGGGGGATCCCTTTAAAGCTCCTGACACCGCTTGAGTCTTCAAAAGTCGAAACACTCTGGATTTGAAAAATCAAAGAATGATTGCAATTCACCTGCACTGCAAACGCCCTTGCCACGGCGGTGTCAAACGACACCACCTGCTTCCCGCACACCGTATAGAACTCGTCATCGCTATCTCCGCATGATACCAGATCTCGCAGCTGCCAATGCTGAATTGTCGTCTTCTGGGGCCATGCCGCAACCTCATCAACGAACATGGCTTCCTCCACGCTGCTCAGCTTGATGCCGTCCGTGGCGGCCATTGCAGACACCATGCCAAAGGGAAAGAAACATGCTCAGCGCTGGGGGTTGGCTTTTACTGAAGAAGGTAAATGCCTAAAGGCATGCAAACGCGCCGGCATGCCTGGGCAGAGAACAGACTTTCGGTTTTGCCACTCCACTGTCTCCACTGCTGGAGACACCAGCACCAGCATCAAGGCCCTTTTGAAGAGCTGAGCGGACTCCTTTGGCCGCGCGCGCGGGGCTCCCGCCCGGCCTCCCGGGCCGCGCCCGGCCTCTGCATGGGTTTCAATTGAGCAACCCTCGCAAACCCTTGCGTCGCGAGGGCGGCCGCGACTTGACATGCGGCCGCACTTTTCAATTCTGCAGCTAAAGTCCCCACGCATTTCTGGAATGGTCGTCGTCCTCATCACCGACTCGGCAAAAAAATCAGGTCTACTCAGTGCGGGGCGCGCTGGCCAAGCTCCAGATCCCACCTTGAACTGGACAAACGACCACCTGATCAGAGAGGCCTCAGAGAGGCGAAGACGCTGCCTAAAAAGAGGATGGCGAACGTCTTCATCACGCGCTTCGGGGACCTTTTAAACAACACAGGCGCATCGGGTCCTGAGAATTCTCTCAATTTCGTTACTAACAAGTTTTCCGGATCCGACATCCTGCCAGTACTTAGAGTCAAAGAGGATGGAACTGCGGCCGCACTCCTGCCTCTGTACAGCGTCACCGTTCTCCAGGAGCTCATTCAACGAGTGAGAACGTGCTTGAGATGAGCTGTTGCAGCAATTCTCACAGATCGTCTTGCAGTCGGTTTGCGGATCTTTCTAGTAAAGAGTTCCATGTTACAAAAGGAGGAAGCCGAAGAAGGGTGTTGTTCCCACTATTTCAAATCACCGTCTACTTGGAGGTATCAATCCTGAAACATATTGCACTATGCAGTTATAGCTCTTTCAAAAAACCAGTTCTTGAGAAGAGGAGACAATGGGCGGAAGCACTGCTATTGAAGACGCCGCTTGAACAAACCGGGCACTAATGCGGTATGTTCAAGAATTTGCAGAGTTTTGGAAAGTCGGTCCGACCAATGGTCGAATGGACCGTGACAACCATCTTCACTGAGGCGAGCCGAGACTACGTGTGGACCAATTGGAAGACTTCAAAGGGCTTGCATCTTCTGGAGTAAGCACGGATCATGCAAGCATTACATTGGCCTGGGGCACGCCTTCTTGTATTTGAATGCTGAGTGCTTGGCATTCCATGTTAGTAGGTCTGTAGCATGGCAATGCTGATCAAGATGTGTTCATAAACGTGCTCCTTCGTCTGGTCGCCTTTTTTTGGAAAAATCACGTTCAAGCATTTGGAAATTCTGCATCCTATCCCCAGGTCCTATAGAGGCTACTCAGGAGCAGCACAATACCGACAACGCCAGCTTGTCGGCAGTCAATTTCGCACGTTGTGGAACAACCACTCTTGCTCCAGCGGAATAAATCCGCACGCCATGCCATGCCAGACTCATCGCCGTGCTGGACTTCGGCCTTCTGATAACAAGACAGCTGTACATGTACGCCTTCGTATCTGCTCCCTGCTAAAAGTGCCAATGTACGGGCGCGTGGCAATCGTCCGAAATACAGGATACTTAATCTGGATCAGGAAGACGGTCCATAACGGGGCTTTAAAAACTGGAGTTCTCATCCGATGCATGCGCTGCTGTCTGCAGGCGACTCATTTGTCCGGACTACTTGTACGAAGGGAGCTCGGCTATCTAACTCACCAGCGGAGCGCACTGCGGTCTACACCAATCATTTTTTCGTACTTGCAAAAGCAGCCTGCAACTTCTTCTCAGCCCCGGACCAATACGACTTCCTCCTGAAGGTCAAGAAAGGAAAGATTGCCTGTAAGTTCCTTCCGTGCACTTTATGTTTTGGCCAGGGAGCTAGCGAGCCCGCCTTCGTTTCTGAACTTTGTTTCGAGTAAGATGCAGCCATAGGCTTCTTAATAACGGCACCTCGAGTTCATTACAAAGCACGGGGGGAAGACCGTGTTTAAGGCCCAGATATCAAAAGAGGAGGGAAAAGAACGCTGTGCCATGGGAACGCACGGTGGAAAATGTCTGACTCTTTACAAATACACAAACCAGTGAATCTTAAAAACGTGCTAGTGCGAGGCGCAAGGTTCGTTCAAAACACTAACGACACAACAACACTAAGGACACAAGTCTCCGAATGTTTGTTGGGACCACCCTATTGGTCACATCACTCTAGATTTAAAGCTGAAGCGATGTTAAGAGCTTTCCTTAAGCTGTTCCTCATCAAGAGTCGTCAGTAGACATCCTCAACGCTGCGTTTTTGCCGACCTTGGATGCTGATGCGCTGCCTTTGTCCCGAACGATGGCAAAATTGGTGGAGTAACTTCGGCATAGCCGGCGTTCTTGGCTGCAGGCCTTACGCCCACTCTGCGGAAAGAAGAAAACGAGAAGCGCGACCTTCACGCCCAAGCAGCAGCACGGCTGGATGCCGTTTGCAGTGATATCTTACGGGACGGCCTCCGGAAGTTACAAACCGTGAGAAATTTGACCACACCTTTTCTGACGACGTCTTCAAGTCTGACCAAAGATACGCCCTAAGCGGAAGGCGCACATTTTGTGAATAGGACGCGCAGTACTCGTCCTCTCTGATTGGGCTTCATTCCGGCCGCCTACATACACGAAACTTGGATATTTTTCATGACCTTCTTGGCTCCCTCCCTCCACCCATACCTGCTGTCGACTTGTAACGTACGAGTTCGCATGTCGAAAGCAATCTGAAAGACCATTGCTAAAGTTGTCTCCAGGTTCTTCAATTTTTCAAAACTGAATATATGTGGACTGCATACGTGTCGCAGATCCTCGAGGACAACCCCGACGCGTGCAAGATGCTCGCTGACTACGAAGACTTGATTGGGCGCAATGAAGTGGCCCGCAAGTCCTTTCTGGGCGAATTTGCTGCAAGCACCTACAGCTACAAGTATTGTTGACATTGTAGTGGTCTCCTTTCACCTTTTCTGCACATTCTGTGGGGTCTTGTCTCCGATGTTGGAGGTCTTTTGCAAACGTTTTATTTATCCCCTTCTGGCAATCCGTGATCTAGACTCCAGATGCACAGCGTGAAGGAATAGCTTATGGAAAACACTGTTGCCATTTTGAAAGTCTAACAAGACGTTTTAACTTGTTGAAGTGCTTTGAGTTGTATTGGATCTTGATCAAGCAAGATAGTAACTTATCAACACAAATGATTCCGTACAAAGATGCTGCGTGGCTGATTGTAAGAAGCAGAAGCATTCACAGATGCGTCCGCTATTTTGCATGATGACACGAATGCTAAATGATACAGAACTTCACTTTGTCGTCGCCTCTGGATATCACCTACTTTCAAGTTGCAGCTTGCGACTCTTCGCAGATCAATACACAGCTTTACTGAAGCACGTGAGTCCCCCAAAAAACGCGGCATGCATTTGCAGAATTGAACATTCCCATCCGAAGCACAAGGCTCGGCGCTACCTGTCACTGGTGAAGGAGGTTGTCACAAATGATTCGTACTACACGGAGGTGAGTAACAAGCACAGCTTAAGAAACACCTTTCACAGCTCAAGTTTTAGTGTCCTGTCAAACACTCGCGGCTAGTCAAGAACGTCTGCAGGTCAGACTGGCAAGTTTTGAGGTGGAACAAGGAAAAGGAAAATCTGAAATTATCGAGAGCGAACGAACCTATTTGCGGTTTAGCTTATCTAGGTTGAGCGCGCCTTCCTCATGTGAAGCTTCAGGGTACCCCTGGATTACTACAACAAAATGTGCTGATAAGCGCACATTTTCGCAAACCGAACAATGGCGATACCAATTTCTCTCGACTTCTGTGATCCAACGTGTATACATGGAGAGGACTTCTTGCTCATCTGGAGGATCCTCATTTCTGGAGATATATTGAGGACTCTCAGGTACTGATCTTGCCGTTGTGGCACTTATTTGATCGTTCATGAGAGAAAGCTTCTTTGGCAATTGGGCTTTGACCGCCTGTGGGAATCGGTTTGTTTGTGTAGCACACTGCAGTTGCTGCATCTGAGTCTGATCCTTGCCGCTTTGCAGGAAACTCCGCATCTGATGCAATTTGGGCTTCTACTTTTGGAGGCTGAGGTTGACAAGCTGCCCCCCGAAGTCTCCCCAGAGGACTCTCCAAATTCGTCGGCCTCGGGTGTCCGAAAGGTCGTGGAGATAGAGGAGTCGGAGTCGGATGAGGAGGAGGAAGAGGGATCCAGGCGCTCTGGACTTCGTGCTTGCTGGTGAGGCTTGGTGATTGCTGGTGAGACCGAGATAGAATCTGCTGAGAATTTTGCAAGAACAGTTTGAAAGGATTAATGAGATATTGAGAGACGGACTTCCGACTTATTGGGTCATTCGAATTCCTCCGGATTGTAAGAGAGGAGGACGTGCACGAAGTCGCTCGCTGGCAATTGAAGTTTGCAAAGTCGGTGTTTCTTGCCATCGCGTTTCCTTTCTTCATTCCGGGGACATGGTTGATACTGAAGTAGCTCTGGCCTCCTGCCGTGCAGGTGGCGACAAAAGGCGGGAAGACTCTTGGATTGAAGACCTACATGTTCTCTGCTTGCGGATCTCATGGAGATCCTTTGTGTAGAAAAATAGAGAGGAAGTCGGTGCATGCTTAATCAAGTAGGAAGCTGCCGTCAAAGATTCAGCGCAGATGATAGGAGTCATGTAAACAAATGGAGGAAAGTTGCAAGAACTGGCAGCACACTTGAAGCAGGCTCAATCTCGATCAGCCCGCTCAAGATGAAACCGATTTCGATCAAAAAGTTGCCTTATTACGGTCGAGCACTGCAGAAGCTGGCTGCGAGCTTGATCACCGACATATAATACTGCTTCATGAAGCCCGCAGTAATACCATGATGCGGGAGATTTAAAGCCGATATCTAGTAGCCTGCACGGGGCCTGCGCCAACTTCAATTGAGCAAACCTCGTGCAAAGCTCTGGCAGGCGTGGAAAAGCGAGAGCGCCTCACCTCGCCGCAAAGAATGCAAAAACCTTACAGAGCGCGAAAAACAAGGGCTTCGCATGACTTGTAACCCAAAAATTCCAGCAGCAGTGCGCCGCGATCTCGCGCGCGCCCGCAATCCTCCCGCGATTGCGGAGGAATCGGGATGCGAGTA